GGTCAAATACCACATTCGCTCTGCCAGCTAATGGCAGCTGTGGCACAGGAGCTACATTATGCTTTTGATAGGGTCTGTGATGCAGATTACCAAGCCGTAAGATTGCATCAATGGTCTGCTCGCCATCTGACTGACCCTCTACTGATGGCAGCATCATACCAAACCCAACCTCCTTTCAGTAACCATCGTACTCCTGGCAAGATGCTGGAGTGCTTTCCAACCACTTGCCAGTCAAATCATCCACAGACTCTGAGGGCTAAGTAGTTCACCTCTTCAGGGGTGCAAAACAGCTCCCAACTGCTAGCCTCTAAAGCTGCAGAGCAGTCCTCTGGCCTTGAGTCCTTCTCCCTCCTCAGCACACTTCCTCCTCCTGGCTCGGTTCACTGTCGGATGCCACCTGAGCCCCCAAGGTGTCCACGAGTCTTTGGAGTGGAGGTCAGATCACCTCTGAATATATCATCCAGCTCTTTGTAGTACCTGAAGATTGTGGGGTGCAGCACCAGAGTGATGGTTTGCTTCACACGCTCGTGGTAGGCATTCCGCAGCTCCTTCACTTTGACCCTATACTGCAGCGTAACCCAGTCAGGGCCCCTTTCAATCATGTACCTAGAGATGTGACCACAGATATTGTAATTCCTATTGCTAGAGTGCAGCTGGACTGGACTGCCTCCTCTTCCCAAATGCTAATGAGGTCTAGCACGTCAGTATGGCTGCAAGCCAGAGATCTCCTGGTGCATGGAGCAGACATGGCCAGCTGGAGATGTGCTGGGAACTCACCATATGGCACCGAGCAAACAGGAAGGGTACTTTCAAATTTCAAAAAGAACACAAGGCAGTAGAGTTCAAACAGATGACCAAAGAGGTCACAATAGGCAGTGTGCGAAAAGTGCTGGAAGCCAATCAGAATGCAGTACCACACTACAGCATCAACACTGGCATCCCAGCACACTATCCAGAAGGCAGCAAGCTCTATGCTTCTAGAGTGGACACTAGAAATGTAAGTGACTAGTCAACTATCCAATAAGCAAAAGTCGCTCCCCCTGACCTACTGCATCTATCAAAATGAGGAAGCCAGTTCCCTCTAGCTCCAGCTCCGTGGGAGGGGTTAGGGGCACAGTGGCAGCATTTCACCTTTGAAATGTACAGGACTCTCCGCTGGCCCCAGTATTCATGTGGCATTTCAATCTGCCGGGGCTGTTATGCATTTCAAAGGCAGAGCACAGCACAGCACAGCACTTCTGTCTTTGAAACGCAGTAACAGTTGGACGGGCTCTTGCAACATTTCAAAGCAGAAGCACCTTTATTGACTAATCGAACAGTCAATGGAAATTCCATCGACTCTGATTAGTTGATTAATCAGATTTTTAACATCCCTAGCAGACACCATGAAAGTTACAGCACTGGGGGCTTATTTACTGCGCAGTAACTTACCAGTGTTGTTGAAAGTGTCTTCACTTGGCTAATCAGATTGTCTTGAAATCTGGTGTGCCTTAGGAGGTATAATCAGTGGTCCAAATTTGGAGCCATAGGATTAGACCTTCCCCCTAACTATAGCCACCACAGATACTAGGAGCTCTAAAGTTTGAGGCCTACCCTAACTAGCAGTCAGACTATAAATATTTCGGGAAAATCTGCCTTTGTCAAGATGGGGCAGGAAGGATTTGAGGAGTATGTATGAGTACAACTGACTATTCAGAACACATTAAATGCTTTCTGAAAAGAAAATAAATTACTTCTGAATCCTTCTGGAGAAGGGAGCACAAATAGGGATTAAAGATAGGTGGTACCAGAGGGAAAATCTGGGATATGTAGTGAGAGATGAGGGGTAGGAAAATACATGCGAATGGTTGGAAGATCTCAGCTGAGTATGAAAGGAGGGGTAAGTGAGGAATTTGGGAGATTAGTGGGAGGGTCTCTCATCCCTGAGTTTTCCTCCTCTGTATGTGTTTTGGGATCTGGGGGAGCCTTGCTCCTTTAATCAGGTCCAAGGTAGAGTGTCTCTTCTTGTTATGTGTTCCAGGAATTGGGGGAGACATATCTGAGCCCCTTTACTTGCCTTTCCATGTGAGCTAGGATCTGGGAAAAGGGCAAAATAAAGTTAAATTGAAACAGCTAAAAATCCAACACACAAATAGTTAAGATACGCCCTGCCTAGGATTGGGAAAGAGCTGATCAGAGTATGTGTGGGAGAGGCTCAGACTGAAAGAGGGGAAGACTGGTTAGATTGTGGAGTGGAGGGGGCAAATGAAGGTGGGAGCTGGTGCGCATGGGGAGCCACCTCCTGTGGAGCCGCCTCTCTTCTCCCCACTGCTGCCTCCCTGTAACAGGATGGCACTCACCTCCCCTCTCCATAGCAGCGCAAGTGCTTCCCTGCAAGCCAAATCCAGTGCTGGAATCTTAGAATCATAAAGCTGGAAGAGACCTCAAGAGGTCATCAAGTCCAGCCCCCTGACCAAGGCAGGACCAATCCCAATTAAATCAACCCAGCCAGGGCTTTGTCAAGCTGAGACTTAACCTCTAGGGATGGAGATTCCACCACCTCCCTGGGTAACCCATTTCAGTGCTTCACCACCCTCCTAGTGAACTAGTTTTTCCTAATATCCAACCTAGATCTCCCCCACTGCAACTTGAGACCATTGCTCCTTGTTCTGCCATCTGTCACTACTGTTAACAGCCTTTCTCCATCCTCTTTGGAACCCCCCTTCAGGAAGTTGAAGGCTGCTATCAAATCCTCCCTCACTCTTCTCTTCTGCAGAATAAACAAACCCAAATCCTTCAGTCTCTCCTCACAGGTCATGTGCTCAGCCCCCAATCATTTTGGTCGCCTTCCGCTGGACCCTCTGCAATTCATCTACATCCTTTCTGTAGTGGGAGGCCCAGAAATTGGACAAAATATTCTAGATGTGGCCTCACCAGAGCCGAATAAAGGGGAATAATCATGTCTATGGATCTGCTGGCAATGCTCCTCCTAATGCACCCCAATATGCCATTAGCCTCCTTGGCTACAAGGGTACACTGTTGACTCATATCCAGCTTCTCATTCACTGTAACCCCCAGGTCCTTTTCTGCAGAACTGCTAGTTAGTCATTCGATTTCCAACCTGTAACAATGCTTGGGATTCTTCCATGCCAAGTGCAGGACTCTACACTTGTCCTTGATGAACCTCATCACATTTCTTTTGGCCCAATCCTCTGATCTGTCCAGGTCACTCTGGACCCTATCCCTGCCCTCCAGCATATCTACCTCTCTCTCTAGCTTAGTGTCATCTGCTAACTTGCTGAGGGTGCAATCCATCCCCTCATCCAGGTCATTAATCTTGCAGGGAGGGAGTGGGTTATGAGGCTGGAGCACCTGGCAGGCAACCGCCTGAGACAGGCGGCGGTTCCTGGCTGGATCATGGAGCATTGCGCCCTGGAGCTGGAAGTAAGAGTGGGGCCGGAGGTGGCTTCCCCATTGGACTAGTGGGGAGCGGCATGCAGCACAAAAAAACCTAAGTTCCTCCCCATCTCTCATGACCAGACACTGCACCCCCCCGTGCTTCATGGATTCCCTCCCCTGCTGCACCCCAGCCTGCTCCCCCTCTCCCAAGCCAGACACCCTGCCCCAAGCTCCTGGCCAGACGCCCTACCCCGAGCCTGCTCCTGCACCCTACCCACAGCCAGAAACTCTGCCCCCAGAAGTAAGTCTCAAAAGCTACTTTTTCCCTTCTTAAAAAAGACTTATCTTAACTTATTTTGTTGAAGTTATCCTGAATTTCATGTAGAATCTTGCAATGCTGAACTGAATTATATAAAAAAAAAGTTCTCCTGCAGGACAACAGAGTGTGTCTCTGTGTCCCCCCGCCTCACCCTTCCCCAGTGCTCGGGAGGCAGGTTCCGTGTGGTTTCCCTCCTTCCCAGTGGGGAACCGAGGCTCTCACGCCAAACCCTAGCCACAGGGAAGGAGAGAGCCAGGCCTGCCTGATAAGGCCTTGGCCCAGCCCCCATGGGGAGAGAGCCAAGGCTGGTGCGGCCTCGGCCTGGCTCACCCCTCCCTCCCAGCAGCCAGGGGGATAGAGCCAGGGCTAGCCCAACCTCACCTCCCTCTGCAGCTGGGGGTGGGGGGGTGGAGGAGAGCCGGGCTGGCCCAGCTTTGGTCCCCGCCACAAACAACGGCTGGGGGGAAGGGAGACAAACTAGGGCTGCCTCGCCTTGGCCTGGCCTTCCTCAGAGGGTGGGGAGAGAGCCAGGGCTGCCTACCCTCAAAGAGAGGGGGGTTGGTGAGCACAGCAAGCAGGGGTGCAGCCCCCTAGTTAAGGTGAAAAAATAAAGATTTGCCGAAAAGAAAACAAAAGGAGAAAGCCGTCAACATTTGCAGATGAAACAGTTCAGAGAATTTAAAAACTGCAATACAGTTGAACACCACTGCAATGCTAACGCACTGGAGTATAAATCAATATGTTGCATGGGTCCTTGATAAGAAACCACATGCTGGGAAGACTCACATTCATCTACATACCTTTGTGTTCATTCAACACAATTTCATCCTTGTACTTCATTTATACACAAGTGGGCATTCTCCTCCTCAGCTCATCTTTGTAAACCAGCTTAAGTTTTATCACAGGGCAATCTCATAGCCATTTCAGTATTGGAAAAAATACTTTACATACATTTTTAACTTCTCCACCAGATCAACAAAGAACTTGATTGAGTTGAGAGAGAGTAAATACATAAAGCTAATTAGTTTTGGTAAAACATAAGTAAATGACAAGCAAAGTAGAACAACTGTTTCCCTTATACACCTCACAAACTAAACATTTATTTACACTTGCCTTCAATCAGCTCTCACTTAAACCTTTTCAGAGACAAAGAAAAGTGGTTCCCAACCATTTTTATATTGAACTAATATGTGAAATGTGAATATATTTATGATGGTTTAAAGTTCTGACAAGTTACAAAGTTGTTTTCTGATGATTCAAGACATTAATCAATATTTGATTTTAAAAATAAATATAAACTGACCTCTTGCATGCCACCTTTAATACGGATAGGTTAAATTGTCAAAAGAGCAAGACGTTGACTCTAGAAAGGGTAAATGACCTAAACTTCTAGTTCTGTTACACTGCCATAAGTTACAAATATACATTGTGAACAATTATCCATCACCACCCTTCTCTTCTATTTTCCTAATCATCTCTCTTTTCTATACTTCAGCCGCTATTTCAAACAAATGACTGCATGCCAGCTCTCCCCTTTGAAAATAGAATGACGTGACATATTGAGGAGCACAGAGTTCTAAACTGTCTT